CATTATTGCAACACGATAAAATGCATTGCTGTTACGATGTGTTCATATCCAATTTTCTATATGCTATAACTGCATAAAATCTTAGTATTTTTAATGTTGGTGTAATCAGTGATATTTTCGCTGTCAGGTGAGATTATATTCAGCTATATTTAGTTTTTCTGAGCAAAAATCTCGCAATACAGGCTTTAATACAGAGTATTGTGATACATAGTAAGTCCCAGGATAGCGGAGAAAGGTTCGTGTTTAGAATAAACCCAGTTTGGAAGTTCTAGTCTCGAAAAACGCACCATAAAACCGCCCGAGTGAATCACTCAGGGGCTCCTCCAAAGAAAAGAATAGGCTCGCGTTGTAACCATACTCTTGTGTTGGGTTACATTATTGTATCTACTCAAAGGGGTGCACGGTCCATGACTCAAAAAAGGTTAAGAACCACTGCACTATATAGCAATACCATAGGGGCGATGATGCACTCAGTTTGCCGGTTAGGATACATACTTCTCATGTTGATCGGTAGGGTCGGCGTAATCTTCGTTTTTTCTCGCCAGCCTGCTCATACCGGGGCGATAAATCTCCATCGACGGCCGCTTGTCTCGCTCCTTCTTGTGATGGAGGTATCGCTTCTGATTGCTGGCGCTGCCTGAATGCTCCTCGTGTGGGCCTCCTTCCTCAGCTACCGACGCAAACACGCAAGGGTTCGAAATTAAAAAGGGCAGCAAGCAGCGGTTTTGCTAGGGCCCAGAGGTCAGTTTGCTACCTGCTCTCAACGTAGACAGAAAATACTTACTGGCGAGATATTCCTAACAAACTGAAGTAAAAGCAGCAAAGATTCTGCCTGTGCTGGTAAATTCGCTGCCTCCGTTCTTCTATGACAGAAACTGCGAAAGGAATTAGTCTCTGGAAAAAATGTTGATTTCTAACCATGCACTGTACACACACCGTCACACGCACAGCGGGATTACAGGAAATGCGGTTCGTACCAGTGAAAGTGGTAATCTCGGATCTGTCCGTATTTGGTGAGATAAGGCTCTTTTCGTTAGGAGAAGAATTGTTCTGGCACTTGATAAAAAGTTTTTTCGAGTTTACAATCGCTTTTTGCGTGACGGTGATGGCACTGACATTGACAAGGAATGATTACGTCGTTAATCTACTAATCGCTGACATTACATCATGACATCATACGCGATATCACGCGTGAAACATTTTTTTTTAATGACTAGTTTACCTAGATCGTGATCCGTCCTCAGATCCATTGCTAACGTGTTTAACTCTTCATAGTTTAGACGTACTGTTTCCAAACGTTCTTTCTCCATATTTGGAATTGCACTACACCTACGGCACCTATCGACAGTAAACCAAAATCTACGACTTTTATGAATTAAAGTGTATTAACTCATAATATTTAATATAGTTTAACTTCAAACATTTATATAATATAATAAATGTATACCTGCTTGAGAATTTTTTTTTTAAACGTTTAAAATGTTTTAACGAAGAAATACTAGAGGCATGTGGTGGTATAGAGGGCGCTCATTTAGAAGATGTCTGCGCCCTGCATAATTTGCAAAAAGTCTATTTTAGGATACTTGTCAGTAAATATCTTATCCAGATTGCGTATACTCCGGTTTTTAGTTAGACGAGTTGTAGTAGTTCTAGTAGTACTAGGTTAAGTACAGTGAGTAGAAGTTCGTAAAGCAGATGATAGGCCCTAGTACAAATTATATTGACGCCGCAATAATCTCACGTACGGACGTGACGCACTGACAGTGACGGTACGGTATGTGACGTCTAAGACTGTGTGAGTCACACAATTATGAGTCATCGATGTTCGGACTTATTGACATCGTTAAATTATGACTGACTACCGTTAACGTCGCCAGTATGAATTCTCATGAAGTCGGTCAGTAGAAGTTGTGTCGACTGTCGGCGCATGGAACGCATTCACTCCTTTTAATATGAAAACACGATTGTTATTCTCTTTGTCTTTCCACGAACCACGCCGTGACTCTTCACAAACGTTTATTCGATTCCAGCGTAGATCCTGCAGGAAGACATGTCGATTTCTGCAAGGCACGAGGCACTACTGCGTGGAAAGTGCGACCGACCCTCCGGCACGGCGAAGGGTCGTCATCACGGGGATCGGTCTGGTGACGCCGCTCGGGGTCGGCTGCGAACACGTGTGGAAGGAGATCCTTAACGGATCGTGCGGCGTCGGGAATCTTCCCAAGGATCGCTTCCAGGGAATACCGTCGCAGGTACCGCGAGGATTCCAGTTACACAGTTAGTTAACTTATAGTCCTGTAGTGTAGCATCAAGTGCAGTGTGGTACAGGTACAGCTAGCTACATATCCCTCCAATGTTTTGTGTATATTTAAGATTATTATCATTATCATTATTATTATTAT